CTTAATGGCCACTTGAATATGTAATGATAAGACATGCTTGTGTTATGTATTTTGTGATTGTAGGTCAAGACTCGAGGATTAATTGACCATTTATGGGAACCACTGTGAGTAACATTTCTGTAAAGATATGTTGATATGAATTATGTTCCAAATGAAATATGATAAGCTATGATTTCTAAAATGATATCTATTTACGTGAATGAACATCCCAAGTTTGAAATCTATTATGGCATCCATAGATAGTCCCAAGTCATGGGGGACGACATGAAAATGCGGGTCCATGACATACAAGTAATTACGAGATCTCGTTAGCCACTTCATTGTGGTGATATTTGTTTAATCGGTATCCGGAACCGATTACTCTAGTCGGAAGACGTTTTGTGATATGTTCTATGGGATGTACCATTATTATGTTCTAATATGAGGATGATTATGTTATGATCTGTTTTCCGCTTATGATATGTTCGAATTTCGTTCACTAACCCTTTTACGTTAATGTTATTCATTGGGTTTTAGCTCATTGTGTGTATATATATGTATAGGTAAGCATTCTGGAGCCCAAGCCCGAAAGCTTTTGTTTGGACCTGTGTTCTGTTGTCAGCCAACCATTGTGTCTCACGTGCAGGTTCCCAAAGCGTCCTGCGTTTAAGTTTTGTGGTTTCTGTTTATTTAAGACTTGATTTGATGTCGTTGGCTGTACTTAAAATACTGTAATGTGTGTGGGTATAATGTATGAATGACTTTTGATTATGTATATAAAGTTTTAAATATTCTGTTCATATAAGTCAGCACAACTCATTAGACAATTATATTTATGTATTTGCTTTCGCTAGCCTCTTAATTTTGTTAATCTGTTTAGAGGCCTTCGGTAATCCAAGGATTACTGGCCGATTACGATGCTAAACCTATAGGGGCGGGTTTGGGTCGTGACATATTATTTCTCATTTTAGTTGCTTTTATAATCATCACATACTATCTTGTGATGCTTGATGATTTGTGAAGCATGTATACCTCTTCCTTGAATAACCTTGTGATAGGAAGGAGGTAAGGATAATAGTCTCATTTTTGTGCTTAGTAAATTCTTTTCCTATTGCCTCTAAGATCATCATGCAACAAACCTTGCGATGGTTGATGATTTGAGAAGCAAGTCTATTTCTTCCTTGAGTATTTTCATGATAGGGAGGGATAAAAGGGATAAACATCTTTTGGAAATACTTTGTCTGCACTATTTTTACCTCAGTGCACAAAGTAGGTTTTTTTACTAAAAATGAAGCACAATTGTATTTTATTAGACCCGGTCGTGCCTCATGGTGGATTGACCGGGCCTCAAAGTGGATAAACAAAACACAATTGTTGGCAAAACAGAGCAGTGGCTGAGGGTAAAACAGGGCAGTTCTCCCAAAGATAGACAGAGTAGTTTTTGAGGGATGTTCTCATTAGTGCACATATGGCTCATGTCCATTTTTATATTTACTATTGTAATATTTGTGAATGTAATAAATTAGACGATTATTCATTTGGTGATGTAATAATTAGTTAATTAGGACATTCGGACCCTCTTGTTAGAGGGCAAATTTATAACACTTGATGTATGTTTTCTAATCTCCATTTCTTTCTCCCTTTTATTTACATGCTTACCGTGGTTGTACAAAGAATGATGTTTTTCTTTATCATTTCCATGCCTTGTATCTTTTTTTGCATGCACTAAGGTTCGGCTCATTATACTTGATGTCGTTATCAGTTCCTACTTGATTATGTGCGCTACCTCATGTTTTGAGTTGATTCACATGTCATAATAGTAGGCGAATCTAGTAGTTGCATTTTTGTATGTGTTGCATTAGCCATTTTGTATATTATGATCATGCATTTTTTCTATCTTCTTTTCTTTGGCTTACAACGATTGAGTACTAGGTGAGCATTTTTACTTTAGTATATTATACGTATGTTTATGTTACCATGTTGAGCATACTACCATGAGGCTACTTTTTTACTTGAAATATCTATATGAATGCTTGTGGATGGAGGTTATTTTGTTTAAATTGAGAATGACTTTGATTATTGTGCATATGAGCTCATTTTTCCCTCGAGTTGCATATATTCAAAAACTCTTTTAAAAAAGTATGAAATCGAAGCATTCCAAAGTAAGTGACGTGGTCTATACTTGTTTGCCTCAAATAGTAATGCTGGCATATTGAATAATCAGAACATGAGCATATAACGTCTATAAGATTCATATCATGATTTAGTAGAGGCTGATCTTTGATCGGGTGAGTGGGGTACTTAATTTATGATATTCCCCTCTCATACCTAAGTTCTCAAACTGAGACAACTTTGATTATGACAGACAAGTGGCCTTTGACACGAGTCAAGCGTTTCTTAATTCTCCCAAAAATATTATGTGGTGACTCTGAAATCTAGTAATGCAGTCAATTTTTTGGCATCTCTGGTGTTTAATTAAATTTTCTAAGATTTGTCGGATCTAGACTCTTATTCGTTTTTCTGTTTCACATTGCACTTGTGAAGCTAGATTTAAAACCACGAGAGTTCAAACTGTGAGGCCTTCTTTTCAAACCTTTCCGAATGAGACTAAACCCCTTCAATAAGCGCGAAAAACTAGCTGAAACTTAAGGGTGGTTTGGGAATTGGCTATTTTATTTAGTTTTTTGATTTTTTACTAAAAGATATTCAAAAAAAGTAGAGAGAGAATTTAATAACTTGTAGTGATTTTTTAACTTTTAGGCTAAAATAGCTTATCCCCAAACGGGGACTTACTTAATTATGACTGAATTTATAAATACTAAGCATAAGTAACAATATATACTGTTATAAACTTACCACTACCATTGCTACTATTATCACCGCCATCGTTGCCATCGCCACCACCACAACCACCACTATCATGCCACTGCCACCGCTACCACCGTCCTTGTTGCTACTACTACCACCACCACCACCACCACCACTATACCATTGCAACAACTACCACCATTATGCCGCTACCGCTAGGAGTGTAAAAATGGTCCGCGGCTCGTGGGCGGCCTGGGGTGGGACTGGCCCGTTTAGGCCCATTTGGGCCAAGGCCCGAGCTCCTAAGCCATCATTTTGAAGGCCGTGGCCCGGCCTATTAGCCCACTTAAGGGCCACTCAAAGCCCGACCCCCCCGAGGCCTAGTTTCCTTTTTAGTGAAAAATAATAAAATTTTGATAAAAAAATAAAAAAAAACAAACAAAAAAAAAGGGCAGGCCCGCCCAAGCCCGAGGCCAAGCCAAGGACCATCAGGCTGGCCCAAGGCCCAGCCCGCCCGAGGCTCGAATACCCCTGGGCCTAAGGCTGGGTTTGGGCCTAATTTTTTGGCCCGTGGGTCGACCCTGCCCAACCCGAATTTTGGCGGGAGCCCACAAGGCCAGACATGGGCCGAGTCGGGTCAGGCCAGATTTACACCCCTAGCCACCGCCGCCACCGCCACCACCACCACTATTATCACCACTTTCATCACCATTGTCACTGTTACTATAAGCACTACCATTATTTTATTACCACTATTATCGTTATCACAACCACCATCAATGCTACCACCACCACCACCACTACGACCACTACCACAATATAAAAATTGAAATATATAATTTAAAAAATTCAACATCCAGTTTTCAATATTTAATTTTTAGTTTTCAATTTTTAATTTTTAGCTTTATCAAACACTATATGTTAGAAAAACTTGATTACAAAATCTTAATTAGTAATTTTACATCACAAAAAAAAAAAGAAGAAAAGAAAATAAGTTATTAAAAAAATTATAATTAAAATCTACCTAAAAAAAATAGCCTCATTTTGAAATTTTGCCTTAAACTCTCAAAAGGAGTCTGGAAAATCCCATGGAGTTGAAAATTAATAATTTTTTGTGATGGTTTTTTTAAACTAACATTAAAACTTTTAATTGGTGATATTTTTTGTAACAAAATTTTTAAATTGTCGCTGAATGTTAACAATTAGTGACTTTTTTTTTTATAGTGTTTGCTAAAAAAAGTCATTAATTATCACCTGACCTATTGGATAATAAATTTAACTATTAAGACCTATATGTAAATTTCCTTAAAGTTTATCTCAAAAGTTATTAAGAAAATAAGATAAATAGTATAAATTTAAAATTAGTTAGATGTGAAACATGCTTAAAATAATTTTAGTTCCTAAATGTATTAATCTAAATATTTTTCTGAGTGCGTAGTATTGTTAAGTGTTAGGGCTCTTGTACCCACATTTGCATGCTTGGCTAAGGACTAAACTGGACTAAGATCATCCCCATTGCATCATTTAATAATTATGAAATAATTATGCGAACTTATAACTATTTTAAATTTAGAATAAAAAGATCGCAATTCAAACCGAGCACTAGGGTGTAAAAATGACCCGCAGTCCGAGATGGGTCCGGCCCGTTTAGGCATGCTTGGGCCTAGGCCCGAGCCCAGCCCGAGCCCCTGGGCTAGGGTTTGGGCCATTGTTTTGAAGCCCAGGCCGTGGCCTAGCCCAACAGCCTGCTTAAGACTCACTTAAAGCCCGACCCGAAGCCCAACCTACCCAAAGCCCATCGTATTTTTTAATAAAAAATAATAAAATTTTGATAGAAAGAAATTAAAAAAACAAAAAAAAATTAGTTAGGTCCGCCCAAGCTCATTGGGCCGGTTCAAGACCTAGCCCATTAATCCGCCAAAGACCTGAATATCCATGGGCTTGAGTCTAGGCCTAAATTTAATTTTTTAGTCAGTGGACGGGGCGGACCAGATTTACGCCTCCACTGAGCACTACCCAAATTCAGTTGACCTTCCCATGAAAGTAAAAGGGCAAGTTCGTCGTTTCCACGTTCACGAAAGGGTGTTCTAAATTCTTAAAATAAGTACGTAACCGTTGCCTCAAGCTCTCAAAAAACCAAACATGCCCTACATTCCCTCTCTATCACACACCCACCTTCTCTCTCCACTTACCACATGCATATATAAACCTCTCCCCAATCAATCAATCCATCCAAAAAAATAAAAAACTAAAAAAATATTTTAAAAAATACACTAATAAAAAAAAAATAAAAAAAACACAAAAATGGCCGGGAAAATTACACACACTGCCCTCCAAACCGCCGTGGTGGCGGTTCTTTTGACAATTCCAATCGTCTTCTCCAACGACATGGTCCCAATACCCCCAAACCAGGCTCAAGTAAATAGTTGGTTCCAAAGCAATGTCCAACCCTACATGTCACGAAAAGGCACTTTAGACCCCGCCCTGGTGGCCGCGGAGGCCGGTGCTAAAATAATTAAGGTGAAGAAAGGAGGCGGCGGAGACTTCAAGACGGTGACTGATGCCGTGAACAGCATTCCATCCGGGAATAAGAACCGGGTCATCGTGTGGATCGGTGGCGGAAACTATTCAGAGAAAATCAAGATTGATAGATCTAGACAGTTTGTTACATTTTATGGGTCTCCAAATGATGTGCCAACTTTGATTTATGGAGGTACGGCAGCGCAGTATGGGACTGTGGACAGTGCTACGTTGATAGTGGAATCGGACTATTTCAGTGCTGTTAATGTTAAAATTGTGGTACGTACTACATATAGTACCGTGACATTTTTATTTTTTGTTTTTGTATTTTTGTACGGATGTTTATGGATTTTATTTTTGTTGTTGTTGTTGTTTTGATTTGGATAAGAATTCGGCGCCGAGGCCGGATGGGAAGAGGAAGGGAGCGCAAGCGTTGGCGTTGAGGATGTCTGGTGATAAAGGGTCGTTTTATAACTGCAGAATCTATGGATTTCAAGACACAGTTTGTGATGACAGAGGCAATCATTTCTTTAAGGATTGTTACATTGAAGGCACTGTTGATTTTATCTTTGGCAGTGGCACCTCTCTCTATTTGGTATATTTAATCTCTCTCTCTCTTAATACCCACACTTTCATTTTTTAATATCTCAATCTGGCTCAATAAATCGATTAATATGAGGACTAATCTCATTGTCTATTAGCATTAGGCCAAATTAAGATTAAGATAAAATTCTGTATAAACTAATTTTAAGAAATTGATTACACTTAAAAAATTTCGAACATGAGATCATAAAAAGCGTTAATCACTAAATTAGTCTCTTTGGATTCCCACACATTTATCTTTGAGAAAACATACACAAGTGTATGTATTGATATGAACCCATTGCTTTGTATCTAAAAATTTAAAAATAAAATAAGAAATAAAATTATGTATAAAATGGTTCTTTACCTAAATAATAGTTGACATTTCCATTTTAGATGTCTCAAAATGATTCGATTTGATTTGCTCAATATGTACTTAGATGTGATCTTCTGTCAAATTCACTCTCCATCATTGAATCTTGCTTCAAAATTTAAGTGTTCTGACGTTTTTACATAATTTAATGATTTGAAGTGTAGTGGGGAAGATCCTCCCTCTTTATAGGATGAGATCCCATTCATAATTTCATCTCTTTATTTTCTTTCCTTTTTTTTTGGTTTTGAATATTAATCTGGACTTATATTAATGATGTGAATCATTTATCTGGTAGACTTTATAATAAAAGTCATTTATACAAAAAAATAATTTCATTGAATATTTATGAACACAAGTAGAAATTACATTTTGTTTTTAATAAAATAAAAGACAATTATGATTGTAAACTTAAACCATCTATTTTATTAAAAAAAATATATAATTTATTTCTATACTTATAGTTGTCTAATGAAACTTATTTTTTTGCATGAATACCCTTTATTGTAAGAGTTATGAAATAGACAGTTTGGATCATCTATTAGGAATGGCCACGGGGCGGGTTCGTCATTCCACACCCCCACTTTCAAACCCAACCCCGCTACAGGTGAAATTTTTCAACCCCATCCCCGCGGATACCTGACCACATTTCAAATAGCCAAAAAAATTGAGAACTATTTAAATCCTTAACATACTAAATAATTTCTTTTGTTTCCATATATATAAATAGTGAGACTTTTAGGATTATTATTTATTTATATTTAAATAGAACCACAAACTTTTAGTATTCCTTTATTATGTCTAATTATATTATATATGTATTGGGTTTAGATTGGGGAAGGCAATACCCACCCCCGTTGCGGGTAATTAAAATATAATCCACTCCTGTCCTACATAAGTATCGAGTTAGGTAAAATCCGTCACATTCGAACGGATATGGTCAGGCCCTGCAGATCGTACTAAAAATGGTCATCCCTATCATCTATATGTGCTTGAATTAGAACCCACAAGAACTTAAAGGAGTATTAAAAAAATGAGGCATGGAAGGGAGCTCATCCCATATCCCCTGCTCTTTCTAGTGTATGATTAGGGAACTGCGGAGGGTGTTGTGCCTGTGAGCTTGTGGGGGTGTTTTCCGAATCTATTTCGATGATTTGAACCTTTCATATTGTAAGATTTGTCAAATATATCATCCATGGAAAAAATTAAGTTAATTAGACATTTATAACTCATAACAAAATTATATTTATGTTTAAAAAAAATAAATGGATTAACATAATTTTGACAATTTTTTTAATAACAATTATGGTCTGATCATGGGTACGCATGTCCGATTAATCTCATTTTTTATATAGATAATATACTTGATGAGTATTATAATATGAATGATTCATATCATCAAAATAAAATTGATACAAATCTCAACCGGAGTATTATAGCGAGGTGATGTGACAGCAATGTGTTTTGATCTCTAAATGTGCGGTAACGAGGTGGTTCAAACAAAAGGAAAAATGAGGAAGATGATCTGATCTTTTAGTTTTATGTTTTTACTGGAACTTCCCATGTTAAAATTAGCTTTCGTTTGGGAAGAGTTAAAATGACCTGACTTTCAACTTTTTAGCTATTTTAGCTTGGTTGTTTTAGCCTAGTTTGGTTTTTGTTTTTGACTTTTTTTACTTTTGTGAGAGAAAATGTATAATGATTATGATTTGAATGTGACATTTTGTCTTATTAGTTTATGTAACCAATTTTATCTTTTGTGTTTTTTTAGCCAAAACCAAATAGAGCTTTAGTTAAATATTGTAGGAGATTCTTACGTTTCAACAATATAGCACAAACTGGTTGTGGGTGTCTCAATTTAATCCGAGTTACCCATTGATAGGAGTATAAAAATAGCCCACGATCCGTGGGTGGCCCGAAACTCGCCTGTTGCCCGAGGTGGGCCCAACCTGATTAGGCCCGAGGCTAGCCCTGGACCTTGGGCTTGAGCTTGGACCATTATTTTGAAGTTCGGCTCGCTCAAGGCCCGCTAAAAACTCGGCCCGCCTGAGGCCTAGTGTCATTTTTTGTAGAAAATAATAAAATTATGGTGAAAAAATTGGAAAAAAAAAGAAGTTGAAGCACGACCCAAGGCCAGGCCCAAGCCCACTGGTGTGGCCAAGGCCTGAATATCCCTTGGGCATGGGCCTAATTTTTGGCCTGTGGGCCAACCCAACCCAATCCGAATTTTGTGGGAGCCCGTGAGGCCTAACATGGGTCGGCCCGACTCCGACCCGGCCCGGGTCAAATTTACACCCCCTACCCTGAAAACCTACATTGTATTTGTATATATGTTTCGGCCCGATCTGCTACCCTATATGTTTATAATCTCATTTCCTACTTCTGTTGGAACATACTTACTCATATCATGAAGAGAAAAATAAAATAAAAATATAATTATATATAATAATTTTTTTTAGATATAATAATATTTTGAATAACTTTTATCACATACAACTAGAGCCAACAAAATAAAATATAATTATATATAATAAATTTTTTTAGATATAATAATATTTTGAATAACTTTAATTACATACAACTAGAGCCAACACATTATAATCTTTACATTCATAGTAAAATTCATTCCTTATTTTTAGCCTGTACATAAGCATAGTTAAACAACATAAATCATTTTATGTACTTGTTGATTTGTTATGATTTACTTTATTTTCTCAAAAAGCCAATAAATTAACTTATAAGTCACTTCCCAAACGAGAGGTTAACGCATGCCTAAAACTATACACAATTCTAACTTCTTATTAATGTAACTAATGTGTAGCTAACTAGGTACAAAATAAAGATGAATGCATAATGTTATACAAAATAAAATAGAAAAAATTGGTGAAAAGTTCATCCTGAAGGTCGGTATAAGGTATTAGATCCAAGGTAAAATTTTATTCAGTGACAAAGACATGTCGAAAAAAGTCGCCAACGACGACGGCAACAAGTGGTGATGGTGAGATAGAGAAATGTGTGATATTCAACAAATAGGGTGTTGAATGAGTGACATATGGTACATTTCAACAAATAGTTTGGTTAATTTTAACAGATAGACAGATAGATTCATTTCAACAAATAGTTGTTACTTTGGACAAATTGTGTCATTTTGACTCAAAGACATTAGAGTTTGAATTTAGTGACCCAAAAAATTTAAAAATAGACTTATGACCTGAAACAAAATAAAATTTCTCTTGCGGAATTTTAGAATAGAATAATATACACTTTTACGATTCTTTCATTTCAAACAAAACATCCCACCATGATGACTAAAAATTCAAAAAAATCAACGGCTTGAGACTTGAAACTTAGGGGTTTATTCTCTTTAGATCTTAGATTGGATTCGTCCAATCAACATAGAACTCTTGAGGTCACAAATTGTAGAGAAATCTGTTTTGAAAATTTTATTTGGACTGTAAGAACTTAGTTTGTGCGTGAAAATTAACTCAAGATACCTTACATAACCACAAAAAATCAAAAAACCACATACGCAACATTCCGGATAGATTTTTTTATATAAAAAATTGTGTTTATGAATCAATTTTCCATTAAATAAAGATATATACCAACGTGTTAGAACAAGCTAAATTATATTGTCACCTTTATATTAGCGTTTAATTTTTTATTTTTTTTTCCACTTTAACCCTACATGTTTCAAGTTTTTCCTAGTTTATTTTTTATATTTTTTTTGTTCAAAACTAGACAAAAAATGTCACATTAACAGTTATGTAGTATAAAAATATTTTATTATATATAACTTACACATCTGATATAAACCTAAATCCCAATATAATAATATATTTTTTATATTATGTGGCATTTTCTGTCTAATTATAAACAAAAATTAATTTAAGAGTAAATTAGGAAAAAATTAGAAAATGGCCGTGTATAAAAGTGGCAAAATGTAATTTATCTTTAGAATAAATTAAGATCGATTCGACACAAAATCCAATCACATTTTTATCAGTCTCACATCTACAAAAAAGAGAGTCGTATCTAATTTTACGATTTGTATGTGTATGGGTTGGTGTAGAACTCGGAATTACGAGTGATACCAGGGGACCCGGTGGCGATGATAACAGCACAGGCGCGGAAGAGTGATGCAGAGGACAATGCATACTCATTTGTACACTGTAAGGTAACAGGAACAGGAAGGCATGCATTCTTGGGGAGAGCTTGGATGCCTTATGCAAAAGTGGTGTATGTATACACTGACATGAGTGATGTTGTTCAACCTCAAGGATGGTCTGATAACTTCCATCCTGAGCATGACAAGTTAGCCTTCCTTCCTTTTCCTTATTCTTCTTCTTCATCTTCTTCTTCCATTCCTCATTTCTCTTCAATTTATAATGTCTTCTATTATACATATAAGAATACATCATACTGTCTGGACTCATTGGGTTCACCACGAGTCATATCTCGATTATTCAAACTCTTAACTTTTAAGATCACAGTGTGTGAATCTTCTATGAAAAAATTTTAATTTATTGCATTTGTTTTATAAAAAAAAAAATGATCTAATTTTTAAATAATATTTATTATTTATTTTCTTACAAATAAATGTTATAAAGTAACTAGCATACACTAACCACATCAATTGAATTTTTTACAATGATAATTTATAAGTTGTGGTTAAAAAAATAAACTATTTAAATCATTGAGGAGTGACCCGTGGTGGGCACCACAAATCCAAATAGTATGGTATAATTTTCAAAGTAGACCGGAGAAAATTTGTGTCCATATATCTATACTATTATAAAGTGAACGCTCCTTATGGTGTCTTGAAACCTTTGTTTCTTATACTGCTACGTGTCTACTTTTTTATTTGAAAAAAGAAAAAATTAGATAGATGAGGGGAAGGGATTTGAACCTTAGACTTATATATCAAATGAATAAGACTCTTACCACTTAACTAGCACACAATATATGATAAATGTTTTATTTTATTTTTATTTATTTGAAATGCACACGCATCGCGTGTGGCAACCGCTAGTATATATATATATATACTATAAACTCAAAAATTTTATTAAAAAAGTTACCTACATACAACAATGTGCGGTCTAAATTTATTTATGCATGAATCTCACAACACAGTATTTTAATCTTAGCCACAAATCACAATTTTTGACAAAAATATAATAAATATTTTTGAGGCCTTAGATTTATTTTTATATGCAAGGTGGAATATAGTGTGGTATGTGTTATATCAAAAAATAAATAAATAAATAAACTTCACTCACTTTAATAATGGGTCTGCGTACCCAGAAAATAAAATTCAAAAAATTTGCAAAGAATTTAAATCGATGGCCAATATTTATTTATAATGGGACTTTGAAGTTTAAAACAAACAACATAGATATAAAATCCTGGGCAATTTTTTGGTCCCTTTTATGGAACTGTAGAGTTTTCCCTTATTAATTCTTTCACCTTTTCATTTTAGTATTGCTTTTGGTTCATGGAATTTCTACAATAATTATAGCAATACTATGTATCTAGAAAATAATAAAAATATTACACAAACAAACAAGTAAGTAGGCCTCATTTCAAATACCAAAATTTGTTTACTTTTTATGCCACACCAATAAGTATTTTTTTTTTCTTTTTTGCAAGAATCTTTTCCCAGAAAAATATATAAAAGAAAAAAAAAAATCCAAAATTTGAAATATATAGATGTAGTACATTTTGGATTTGGTTCAAATTCTAAACCCTTTTTTAAGTATATTTTTTTAGGCAGATTGCATTTATGTTATAATTACAGCAATGGTATGTACTTTAAAACAATACCTAGAAAAATATATCCAAAAATTACTGACAACTTGAAATGTGTTGAGTGAGTGCATCTCACAACACACAAACTTTAAACCAAATTTTCTCTGTATTTTTCAAATACATAACATTTATTGTTATGTTATATAAATATAAATAATAAATAATGGTTTTTTGCAGGACGGTTTACTTTGGAGAGCACAAATGCTCAGGTCCAGGTTCAACCTCTACTAAAAGGGCTAAATTCAGCAAGCAGTTGAGTTATGAAGAGGTTAAACCCTTCATCACCCTTGCCTTCATTAAGGGTTCCAAGTGGCTCCTTCCTCCTGCCAGGGTCTGATGAACACGTCGATCGGAGAATTGAACAGTGTCAATCGAGGGCGTCTTGCATCGGCCTTAATTAATTTTTTATTTTTTTTGTAGTCTTAGTTATTATTCCTGGGTGTTACAATAATTGTCGTGTGTATACGAGAGATTAAGGGTGTAGTCACATTGATGCCCCGAATTTTGGAATTTTGTAGCTCACTATGATAGTATGTGACTGTTTAATGAAATATGTTATTTTTTATTTTTTTTTTTGTAAGAAACACGATAATTCAATTTCAGCCTTTTTAACAGGAAATAAGATTATAATTCTAGTTTGATTAACAAATCAAGAATCACATTAAAAACAGAAACTATTTTCTCAATTTTCACAAAATTTAACCTCTTTGTACCCCTTTTGTCAATCTCTATTATGAAATGACAATACTTACATTATTTGGAAAATTTATCATAGAAATTGGAACTTGATTTGTTAAATTATTCAACCTAAATAATCTTAGAAAGAGCTTGGAGACGAGGCAGACGAGGCAGACGAAACAACCACCCCATCCGAAACACATTTGCTCCAAATCTCATCACTATGAGACAATACTTGGGGCACATTAACATGTCTTCTAATCCAAGGCATTTCAAGAATTCTGTTAACCAACGTGCCATGGCACTCCTTTCCCATCGCCACAAGGTTCTTACAGCACGGTGCAGTGACCGTCGTATTTATAAATATGCCCTCAAAGATCTCCGAGCCACAGGTCTCGTTGAAATTCTCAACACACTTTTCCAAGAAAGCATCAGTGGGGGAAGGTGCTAGGCCGGCAAAATCTTCCAAGAAATCATCCATGGCTGAAGGTGCTAATGCTTCTTCGCCATTGTTGGCCGGTTGTGGTGCAATATTTTCTTCCATTGAGGGTTTAATGGCAATGTACATAATGAGCATTGCAAAAAATATAGTGAGTTTTGTCATGGTTGAGGATGATGATCTCTCTTGTGGTGGTCACTAAGGGATTGTTAGAAATGAGTTAAATGCTTAGGAAACCAGTGTGTGGTTTATATATGGGTGGCTGGTGAAAATGGTTTTAGCTAGAGATTTAGATACATTTATGAGTATTAATTTTGTTTATTAGTTTTTATTGTGATTTAATGAAAGGAGTTTCTTTGTCTTGCGTATCTTAATACACACTTTTTAAAGGGAAATTATAGAATGTTTCAGAAGTATCGTGTATTCGTATTCTTTAACCAATTATCATTCAACATGTCTCCTCGTGTTCTCCAATCACCCAACACAATACCCCACATATCTACTTTCTTCACCAATCACAATACTATGAAATATCATATGTCTATATTTCGAAATTACTGAATAATTATTCCTTTTTAAAATGGTTTTAGCTAGAGTTCTAGATACATTTATGAGTATTAATTTTATTTATTAGTTTTTGTTGTAATTTAATGAAAGGAGTTTTTTTTGTCCCTTGTCGTTTTAAGTATCTTTAGTATACACTTTTAAAGTTATGCATCACATATATTTTATTATGTATTTTTATGATACATAATATGTATTTTTGTAACACAAATATGTAATATTATGATAAAATTATAATAATTTGTGATTCAAAAATCAAATTATATATTTTATGATAATGTTACATTTTTTATTTATTTTTTATTGAAAAACCTTTTAACCATAAAATGTGTTCACCCCACCAAAAATACATCCAAGACTATTTGTTGTTCCATATATATTCAATCACTGCAAACAAAAATGTTTGGTAGCATTTTCAATATATTTAGGATTATAAATAAATAGAGTCTTCGTGAACAGACTCGAGTTTAGTTCAGTAAAGACTCGTTCGAACTCGGTTTGTTAAATTTTTATTGCATTTGAGCTCGAACTTGTTAAAATTTTAGTAAATAAATCCAAACATACTAAAGTTCAGCTTGTTATCTGAGCTCGTTTAACATTTATTTAAATAATATATTAAATAATGTGAAAACATGTATAAAAAAAAAGAGATAAATATGTTATTTATATATATTTAAATAATGCAAATGTAAATAATAGCTAAATTTATTTATATGTAAATAATAGATAACTATAGATAATATATTCATATAATAATGGTGGTAGATATGATTATTTTGATAAGAGATTGACTTTCCATTTGATATATTTATATATATTGTATATATGTAATTGTATAATCAAAATTTGAATTGTAACTTTAGTCTCATAAAAAAATTTGAATTTATAATTTCTTTGACTTATTAAGGCTTGTGAATAGACTCGAACTCGAGTCAAACCTGAATCAACTCGACTCGAGCTCAATTTTTTATTTTTTATTTTATTATTTTTTTGAATACGAGTTCAAATTCGAATTCGAACTCATTAAAATTTTAATAAACAAGTTTAAAGATATTAAAATTCGGCTCAGCTCATTTGTAAATTTAAATATATCCGCTATTTTTAAAAGTCAAAGACAAAATAATCCATTTAAAATAAAATAAATTACATTAAATTGGACGTTGATTCCTCAATTACTTTGAAGAGTGTTTGCTCCTTAATTTCAATCCAATTTCAAATTGGACGCCAACATTCATCATTTTGAAAAAGTAAATGTACTTTTTTTGTTACTTGATTTCAGTTGACATTTTAAAAGAGTGTTATCAATTGAACTAAATTGATACAGTGTGAATGATTCCAAAAAAAAAATAAAAAATCAATCACTTTGCTTGGTTCTTATTTTTTAAAAACAATTTTCAAAAAATTCTACACTCTTATTTTCCGTATTTTTTTGTTTTTACTGAATTTTTTTAATATTTTATGCAAACTTTTTACTTTTTAGACGCACCTAACATAAATACACCTAAAAAGTAAAAAAATTGTAAAAAAAATCTTTTAAAAATTCACTAAATACCAAAAATACAAAAAAATACAAGAATTTAGTACATTTTTTATATTTTTATGTATTTCTTAATTTTTTAAAATATTTTTTCACAATTTTTTTACTTTTTAGACACATCTAAGTAAGGTGCATCTAAAAAAGTAAAAAAAATGTTTAAAATTTTAAAAATATTCACTAAAAACAAAAAAATACGAAAATCAAAAAACTCAATTTTCAAAAAACTTAATCCAAAAAACTCAAACCAAACACAGTGAATGCAATTAGATTTAAACAACTAAATTGACACAATATGTAAATACAATGACTACAAGTGTAAAGCTTTTTAAATTTTCAATTTACAAAACATAAAAATTTGTTGAATTATGAATTGAAGCTTTGTTTAAATGAACTTGGTTAGTCCAGGAAAACACGTTAAAAATTTTAAGAAAATATTTGAAAAAAGAATGCACTGTTTGTTGAAAGTTTGCCCAAGGTTCAGTAACTAGCTTCAGAGTCCAGCTAAAACAAAAGGAAACATACATACATATATATGTATATATATAGAGAGAGGGAGAGAGAGAGAGAGACAGTCAGAAACTGTCTCACAAGAGATTGCTGGAATGTTTATTCAGTTTTTTCACATTAAATCAAGGCAAATTATAAATCAGATGTATCTTCCAAAAATAATTACCAATACATGAAAAAGTTCATGATTTTAATAATTAAAATTTATAAATTATATCATTATTCTGAATTTTTTTTTTCCCAACTAGTACACAGATTTGTTATTTCCCCTTAAATCAATCCCCCATTTGATTCACTTGACAATCTGTAAAAATTTCACAACTGAAGAAAGAAGAGAACACTGGGAAACATTATGGTAGGGAAGAATGGCTGTCAAGCTACATTCTTCACCTGTAACAAAAGCATATATTTAAATAACAAAGAGAAAAATAAAATGGAAAGAAACTGATTATGCTTCCCATCCTCTTAATACAGTAGCCCGAGCAACACGATTCACTGCCAGTGTGAAGGCGCCCATTCGGAGGTTGCAATTGTGTGTCTGACACATGTTTTTGATGTTATGAAAAGCTTTCGTCATGTACCTATGAAGCTCCTTGTTCACCTTCTCTTCGTCCCACATAAAACCTTGAATATTCTGCAACGACATAATTAATTGTAAACCATTATAATTGTTTCCCCTTCACATCTAATAGCTATCCCTGATTTTTCATACTGATTTCCCACAGACACACGAACAAAAACACAAACATACTAATATACAGACACCCCACTGACACCAATAATATACATTGCATTTTTCCTTTGAAGTAACTTACAATTGCAATGAAAAGGTAAGGGGGCAAGGGAAACAAAGAGTCCAAGATATAGTTTGACCAAGCTTTCATCCAATGCATCAAACTTGTGTTTTATGATCAACATCTTTTATTTGCAGGTCCATTTTTAAGCCTCATTTAGTGCTTCTCTATTTCATTTGATTTTTAGTGGAAAATGGAGATTTATATGAGTTTGATGATTTCGACCTGTGTTATGTGATTTAGGGTTGGTTATATGTCAATTATTTACTCCTCTTCCACTGAAGGAACAAGCTTAAGGCCCAATAGTATGTCTCCAGTTCGATCACCACCAGCCATTTCCTAAGAAATTAAGGGTAAAACTCACCTTCTCTGAGGTTTTTGAAAATTTACAGTCAATCTCAAACTACACTTGTATTACACTGACATTTGAACCCACATTCTCAATACTTTCACACAAGGTTTCATATATTGATAACCATACCAGAAATATAGAAGGGATATCGAGTGCTTTTGATACCTGAACCCACTCAAAATAGCTGACCGTCACGCCTCCAGAATTTGCATATATATCAGGTAGTATTATAACCCCTTTCTTAGATAGAATCTGCAGCAGCAATAATAGCTTGAGTTTTGAATAATGTACATATTTCCCAAGATGAGTTAAAAAGTTGAAGTCAATGTTACCTCATCCGCCTCTGGATCAGTAGGATGATTTGCTGCTTCTATGATGAACTTGGCTCTTACATTCCCAGCATTTTCTCTTGAAGGGGCAATGTGAAAAATGTACAAGAAAATAAATGAGATGTATTGCATTAAAAAAAGTTCAAAATATATGTCTTCTTCATTCCACTTGAACGTCTAATAGGAGACACATGCAAGTCATGCCTCTTCATGGGTCAAAGTTCATATGACTCACCTTCCGGCTGCGAATTCAGACACAAGCTTGTCTGATCAACCCATGAAAATGGATAAATGGTCAACAAGACCAAAGAAATGATTCCATTCGCTTTAAGTCCAACTTGTTTGCTTATTGCATTTGGCATGAAACAATTCCATTGTATAAACAACCCATTCTATATTTATAGTAGGACGTCGTTCTCTTTTTTTTATCACAAATTGGAGTAAGTTTTAGCATTCCATTTATATAATGGCACCAGTAAAAACTGAATTCACACTCTCAAACAAACCCCCCAGGGAGTAGCTCATATCTCTGGGACATCCAAATCGTTCACAAAAATGTGCAAACATCTGTATAGTTTTCCTAGAGGAGTAGACTGCAAATAGATCATCTCCCAAATTAACCTTACTGCAACCATCTTTCAGACAGTTATGTCTTATCTTTGACAATTACAATATGAATTGCATATTACCGTAATATTAACTGCAGCATTCTTTTAATTCACATGTGTTTTGCTTACTACATATACCATTATGCTTGCAAAATTTAATGTTTCTTTCATGAGGGATGCATCCTTTGTTGGGTGATGCCATGCTCACAATAAAATAATAATAATAATAATGAAGTAATGCAGATTAAATATGAAAAGAACGGATGAGCAATTTACACAAGCAATTGCAACTTGAAGTTGGATTAAGGCCATTGCTAAATAAAAAGTAGGGTGAATTTCACTTTACTCCTTTGTGGTTTGTTCCATGTGCAAATTACCCTCAACCATTTGAAAATAACCGCTTAACTCCCTTGTGATTTGTGAACTGCAGTGCACAGTCAAACATTGTACCCAATTTAATAGCAAGTGTGAAACACGTGCTAGGATATAAGGGGATTATGTGCTCATTTCCAAATGCTAAGGGGTAAACCGCACAAAGAGTAAAGAATAGGGAGTTAAAGAAAATATTGCCCTAAAAATAAATCCAAAAAAATGTCCTTAGTTTGCACAATGAAGTTACTTATGTATAAGGGTATTCTCGTCTTTCCACTTAAGCCGTTCACAGCTTTACTGTGCACTTTAGTCCACAAATCACATAAAGTTGTGTACTTATTTTTAAATAAGACACAGGCCGAACCACAAGAACTTAAACTGAAATTTTTCCTAATATATGATTTAATGACATTCATTAATCATAAATGTTGACAAATAATAATTTTAAATGCCTTTTTCGAACCAAGAAAGATTATTACATTTGTGTCTCAACTTGGACGTATTCTTTAACAGCTTTATTTCATGTTTCAAAAATCAAGTATATTGTCAATTAACAGTCTACTATTGAGTGTATACCAAACCAAGAATCAGAGAAAAGAAAATAAAATACAACTACTAACACTGACAGTAACAACCAGCAACCATGGGCTAAATTTAGAAAATACCATAATGAAAGTAACAAGTTTCTAGGCAAAACAAGAGATAAACCTGTTCAGAACTCCTCCCAAGGCACATGGGATCAAGACATCACATTCCTCCAGGAGTAATTCATTTGGATCCATGGCATCTCCACCATCAAAATTATTCAAGCTCCCCGTTTCTTCTTTATGATTAAGCAATGCTGGTATATCAATCCCACTTGGGTTCTTAACCGCTCCAGTGATGTCACTCACTGCAATGACCTTACCACCTCTCTCATGAATGAGACTTGCTGTCCAAGATCCCACGTTCCCAAAACCCTGAAAATAATTTCTTTAAAAACATTACTTACAAAAGAATCCATGCCTAGCACGGCTGATTAAGTAATTAACATGGAAACACCAATGTCAAATATACCTGTATAACAAATGTCAAATCTTTTATTGACTTTCCATGTTCAGCGAGTAAAGCCTCTGTGGCATAAACGACACCACGCCCAGTTGCAGCCTCCCTACCCAGGGATCCACCAAGATCCTAAAAACGAAAAAGCGCATTTATAAGGTTCTTGTGAAAAGAAGCAAGAAATTTATTTATTTATTTATTTTACTTGCTAAGTGTTATTTCAGAGCTAGGAATCATGTTCTCGGATTTTTGTCTTGATTGCTTACTATGGGCTTTCCGGTCACAACAGCTGGTGAATGACCATGAAACTTTGAGTATTCATCCAAAATCCAAGCCATGGTCTGTGCATTAGTCCCCATATCTGGTGCGGGGACATCCATATTTACCCCAATAAGATCATGAATCTTTTGAGTGAAGACTCTAGTGAGACGTTCCAACTCACTCTTACTTAACTCACTTGGTGTGCATCCAATTCCACCCTTAGCTCCACCATAAGGAATATCTGCTACAGCAGTCTTCCAGGTCATTAGTTGAGCCAGAGCATTTACCTCATCAGGATCAACCTTGTTCAAGAAAATGAAGAAACATCTCAGTACAAAATTCAAATGAAGAATCGTTTATATTTTCTTTTGGGGTAAATTACAAATACACCCCCTCAGATTTGCTTAAAGTACAGATTGCCCCCGGTAGCTTGGAAAATTACAAATACCTCGTTAGTATTTTTTATTTAACAAAATTAACTAAAGAAATAAAATTCATAATTGCTCTTTTATACAATAATAAAATTACATAAATTATTAATTGAAACATATTTCTAACATTATTAAAAACTGTTAATTGACTTGATGATTTATTAATAAAAGGGACGATTTGTTATGAAATTAGAAACCTCAGGGAGTGGAATGTAATTTTCAAAACCACAAGAGGCAATTCGTATTTTAATCAAATCTCAGGGGGTGTATTTGTAATTTATCCTTTCTTTTTTACTCTGCTGTTGTATATGAATGATTAGTAAAATGAATTTTAAAGTAAGGATTCCAAAAGTTACGAACAAAAATTCAAAAGACACTGATATATACACCGATGTTCTAAAAACTGGATCAGTGATCAAACCGGAAAAAGCATCAGGTGGACGGGTCACTAGTTCAATCGTCGAGTCGAATTGTGATGTCATAATTATTTTATAAATATATTAAAATTATTTAATAATTATATAAGAATTAAAATACATTTATTTAAATTATTTTTAAATTTTAAATTACATATATAATTATATAAATATATTTATATTTATTATTTGCAAAATATATTAATTATACATGATGTTTGAAAAAAATGCAATAAAAATATAAATAATGAATACAATAAATAAAATATATGTTACATTTATCAATAAGGTGCATTGCGGTTTAGTGGAAAATAGTCAAACATCTTGTTTGAGGTCCCATGTTTGAAACTTGGAGCTTATTTTTTTCAGAAGCATGCACCAATTTCTAGACTGCCAAACCAGTGTTGCGTCATCCGGTTGACTAGTTCAACCACCGGTTTGACTGGTTCAATTAAAGGAGGCCGATTTTCAAGTGAAACTAGTTAAAGGGTATATCTAGACCGGAACTTAGACCGGTCAAAGGGTATATCCGGACTGGGCCAGTCTTATTTCTAAAACATTGATATATACCCATATACTAAAGAGAAAAAATTGGATGTTAAGGAAGGACTTTAAACAAACTTCTTCAATGAACCTTTATATATTATGGCAAATGCTAATTGTTTATTTTCGGGATTGGGGTGAAAAAGTTATAAAATGTTTTGTTTCAATGAAAAGTTGTTTTGAATTCAATAACAAGTGTCCTGAGTTCTTCCTTTTTTTCGACTTTTTCTTGTGCCTTAGAAGCACTAATTAGCAAGACCCTTATATTATATACACGATAAAAAAAAATTACTATTTATGCTAAATACATACCAGGATTATTTTTCAGGATTATCAGAAATTTCTTTATTTTTGAGTAATTACTATGGCCTTATGGGAGACGTACAAAGGACAGTTTAGAGTCTGAAAGAGAGTCATACAATTGAAGCCACAATATAAAATCCACATCAACTCATCAATAATACCCTAGGGCACTATCTAAACTGATCAATCTGGCAAGATCACCATCCAGTGAAACTGCTAGGCCAGTCATTTGTGCCAGATACATACAATTCATTAGTTCAGATATCATAATTCAACAACTTAAAACTTCCACGCTTGTACTCAATGAGAACATCAGGGAAATATTGAGGCAAAAAAGTCCCAGGAAAATCATATTTTCAGTTAATGTGCGGCACTGCATTATAAATAATTTTCATTAAAATTGTGTAAATGGCATGCAGCAATCAGGACTTTTATGATACTTTAGTTGATCCAAAACTAGAATTCCAACATCACATCAAAGTGGTGTCCTAGTTCTAATATTTTTCAAACCAAGCAATTGTAGAGATCTCAAGACATTCTAGCTTGTAGTTTAGTTAGACAAAGCTAAGAGCTAAATGGCAAGTACTCCCCAACAGATTCTAGCACCATAAAATTCAAGCAGAGCAGATGATCCCTTTTCCAAACAGAGTTTGGATATCGTGGTAAAACGAAATCATTTCAAGACAACTAGCATAGTCATGGAATTAGTACATACATCTAGAACATTTTGCTTTCACTAACAATGACATGAAAGGTTTTATGTTGGCACTTGTAATGACTCCTAAAAAATACGTGAATTTAATTAATTTAACTAAACATATAACTTTTGACCGAGCAGAATAAAATAACAAAAAACCAATTCATGTCAACACCCACACTTGATTAGGAGTTGATTAGGACACAAGGATTAGTTTGGCTTGATTTTGTTACTGGTCAAATACCTCCATTGTCGGATAGTGAATGGATTTACAAAATATCATCCTACTTCTATGGACAACCAAACACAGTTTTAGTTTACCAAAATTTATATCAACCAAGAATTCCAAAAACCCAAAATCCAAAAAAAAAAACCAATTCAACCTAAAAACAACCAAACCATCAAACCAGAAAAGGCACAAAATCAGAAGAAATTGAACAATAACCTCGGGATGATATCTGATCCCTCCTTTCATAGGACCACGAGAATTATCATGTTGAACTCTGAATCCAATGTAGGACACCAGAGTTCCATCGTCCTTAGGAATTGTACATTCCACCTGATCAAAACCCAAAAATCACAGGATCAAAACTCTTTCCATTCCCAAGATTATCAAGAAATACAAACAACCCATGAGTAGAAAACATAAAACTTTTCTATTCTTACCTTGATTTCTCTGAATGGGATCAAAAGACTCTTCTCAAGTTTAGAGTCCAACCCAAGAATGCGAGCAGCGTGGCGAAAATTGCGGTTTGTGGCGGCGAGAGCGTTCATGGTTGTGTGAGAATCACTCAAACAAGCAATACCCAGAAACTAAAATGGATCAAACAGTTCAAAATATTATGTATATATATATAAATGGAACTGTGTAGTGAGAGATTATAATGGGATCAAAGGAATGAAGATGAACTTTGTGAATAGCTGTATTTATAGAGAAAGAGGAAGCAAGTGCTGAATGCGTGTGACAGGGATTGTAGTCAGATGGATAAAATCAGAGGAGAGGGAGGGAGGAGCAATACGAGTGTGATTGTTTTGGAAAGTTGTTTAAAAGTTAACTTTTTATTTTTGATTTTTATTAAATGAATGAAGTGATTGTTTTGGAAAGTTGATTAAAAGTTGTTTTTTTATTTTTGATTTTTGATTTTTTAAAAAATTATTAAAAAATAAAGTGATTGTTTTGAAAAATTGATTAAAAGTTGTTTTTTTATTTTATTTCTTTTTGATTTTTTTTTAAATATGAAAAAATTAAAAGATGATGTAGATTAAAAGTAAGCTTTTAATTTTATTTTATTTTATTTTTTATTTTTATTTATTTATTTATTTTTTTTAAACTCTTTCTAAAAAAGCCTTAGGTAAACCAAGACTTCTATTAAATTTTTTACCAACATGGCGGTAGGCTTAACGGGAGATTATTTAATAATCATGTGTCTAATTTTTCTTAATCAAATATTGTTTAATGTGCTTCATTGATTAGGTTTGGAAAGTGGGTTTGGATGGGTTTGGAGTTAAAATAGTCACAAAAAATAAAATAAATTTTTTAGTCATAATAAGATAAAATATCACATTCAATCCATAATTATTATATGCTTTCTCTCATAAAAAAGTTAAAAGTCATTTTCAAATTAGGTTTTTTAGTTCCAGACTAAAATAGTTAAAAAAATTAAAAAGTCAACTCACTTTCCAAACCAAGCCTTTATATTCTCTAATCATCTAACATTATATTTTATTTATTTACTTTCTCCACTAATTATAACTAGCAACCGCGCACACGCGATGCGTGTGCAAATTTGTTTAGAATTATAATATGAATTTGATATTATTTTTTCTAATAATATACATATAAATCATATGAATAATTATGTTCAATGTAACATTTGGTATTAAATTTGAAGACATAAAATTAAGCAAACAAACAAACGAATTTTATTGAAAACATAATATTTTTATTTTTATTTTTTTTAAAGGCGCACACACAAAATTAACCATCCAAACAAACCAATTTTTTCAAAACATAAATTATAAACACACAAATACAAAATTAAGAACATTGATTTTTAAAAATAAAAAATACATACACACACAAAATATTATTCTTGTTTGTTTGAAAACAGACTATTTTGATCCAAAGGCGGTTTCTTCGGAATCATCCTCGACGACGACGAAGAGACCGACGTCGAAGCCTTGTGGTTGAAAACAAAGCGAGTCTGATCCGATTCCGTTACCGGAGGCAATGCAGCGAGGATGCCGAAATTCTCTGCACGGCCGACGCCGTAGTGGTGGTGGGAGCGGGGAGAGGAGTAAGTGGAATGCGAGGTGGAGGAACGGTTGTGGTCGGCAAAGTCGCCGGTCCAGAAAACGTCGTCTTCGTTGAGGAGGAAGTGGTTCTCTGGATGCAGAATCTGGCGGCAGCGCCACCGCTCGAGTCCATGAAAAAGATTTTGCTCGTCTTCGTTGAGAAGGAGGAAGTGGCTCTCTGGATGCGGAATCTGGCGGCGACGCCACCGCTAGGGTCCATGAAAAAGATTTTGCTCTCACCAAAAGATAAGAGAGCCCATGAAAGAGAGGGATGGAGAGACAGCAACACATGCTTAAATTGAAAGAGAGAGATTGGAAATCCATTGAAAAGTTTGTGCAAAGGGATAAAGCAAAGAGATTGGAAATCTGTTAGACAAATTGATTGAATTGAATTCACCGATGCGGAATCGTTGATAGTGAGATTGGAAATCTGTTGAAAAGTTTGTGCAAAGAGATAAAGCAAAGAGATTGGAAATTCGTTAAAAAGTTTGTGCAAAGGGATGAAGCGAAAAGTAAGAGAACAAACGTGGGGGATGAAGTAAAAAATATATAATTGGTAGTTAAAGTGAGGGCAGTTGAGATGTGCAAGTGTAGGAACAAAACGTGTAGGGCAATTGAGACGTGCAAGTGTATTTATTTTTTTTAAATATATATAACTTACAGGTGGCAAAAGCTTCATGACACCAAAATCACTGTTCCCTTTTAATAATAGAATAGATATTATGAAATATCATGTGTTCATATTCCGAAATTACTTAGGCATGGTTTGGGAAGTTGGGCTAGAGGTTTTTTTTGAGCCAAAATAGTCACAAAAAATAAAATAAGCTTTTTAGCCCAATAAAACAAAACATCACATCCATCTCATAATCATTACATTATTTCTCTCACAAAAAAGTCAAAAAAATCAAAAGCCCTTCACAAACCAAGCTTTTTAGTCACAGGTTAAAATAATCAAAAAAGTCAAAAAGTCAACCAACTTTCCAAACCATGCCTTAGGCCCTGTTTGGTAGAGCTGTGGAAAAGTGCTTATAGCTTATGCCTAAACAGCTTATAGCTTATAACTTTCAACTTAAGCTGATTTCCAGCTTATTCTTAAAGCATCTCCTGCCCCACTTAAAGAATAAGCTGTTTTCTGACTTCCACAAAGCTATAAGCTATAAGCTATAAGCTAAACCAAACAAATCAAAATAGCTTAAATTAAGCTGAAAGCTGAAATTAAGCTGTACCAAACAGGGCCTTAATAATTACCCAAGGTTCACAATTATATGGTCGTATAATGCTTTAGGCCTCGAGAGCTTCAGGTGCGAATGTGCGCGAATTTATGGTCACCAATCGACCGGCTGGACGACCTGTTGGACGACCACCCGGACGACCAGGTGAAACACTTGTCTACCGTGGTTGTCACCTTGTCAACCGTAGTTGTCAGCCTCTTTGCCGGATGACTGGTTAAACAAATTCGAGACAAATTCGCATATCAATATTCGAGGCCTGTAGCACGACTCACTTATAAAAAAAAAATTGATAAAAATCTTCAAGTCTAGCATTTTTCAAGAGAAAGAGAGCATGGAAGAAAGGGTGGGAATTGTGCTTTTATAATACAGTTTTGGTAGCGTGTCGTGTCGGATTCATATTTAAAACAATCAAATATTAACACAGTCTATTTAAGTAAATGTGTTAATTATTTTAATATTGACTTGTCATATTTATAATTGTGTTAATCCTAATATGACACATTTACGATTAGTAAAAGTTCATACTTCAGATTATAAGTAAATTGTATCATCTATTTAAAAAAAAGAAAACCTTATTTCACATTACATAAGAATAACTTGTTTAAATATTGATACACAATGATAATATATATCTCAATATTTATGAAAATAATTAAAAATATTCATCACTAATACATTATACATCCTATCTAAATTATTGTCATTCATTAATATTTAAATATCCAATAAAATTTTAAAAGCAAAACAAATTTCATCCAATATCAAACTAATAATAGTAATGTTATAGGTATGTCACATCTAAAGAAACATTATTGTGATTATTTCACATTGGCTTCTTTCATAAAAACACTGCCGCTACACATTCAAAAACTTTTATATCCACCAATCTTGACTTCTACTAATTTATCATTAATTTATGGTTAGGGTAATGTTAGGGATACCAAATTTTCTACCAAACAAATGACCAAATGTCTCACATGGGTGTGGGGTCCGCAATTTTGTGGGCCCCACACCCATGTGAGACATTTGGTCATTTATTTGGTAAAAAATTTGGGACCTCTAGCATTTTCCTTATGGTTATACTTCATTAGGTATATATTATATGGAGATTTAAGTTTTAATTTAACGGATGAGAATGAATTACTCAAAATATAATGGTTACTAAATTCAAGTTGTATTCAGATTACATACGAGTTAATAGTGAATTCGTGTCAACATGTTGATATGAATTTTCATACAAAGTAAATGTGTCTATTTCAAACTTCACGTGTTCAACCTAAATACAACTCATTTAATATTTATGTTTTCAGATCCTATCATATTTGAGTTCAAATAAAAAAAAAAAATTAGCCTTAATTCTGTAATTATTGTTAGATAATGTTTCAATGGGACCACATAATTAAATGTGGTGTTATCATTTATAAGAAGCCTACAATTTAAGTGATTCAATTTAGTTAATAGGCTTAAGGGTATATGTGTTATGGACCTAATGTGTAGATACTAGTTGTATAATTTCTATTTCTATGAGGGGCAGAAATAGAAATTAAAACATAATGGTTAAAGTTGGTTTTCATTCCTTTTGAACTTCCACAACCTTTCAGCTTTGAAAACCAGTAAATAGAAATCAAAACCAACAATGGTTAAAGTTGGTTTTCATTCCTTTTGAACTTCCACAACCTTTTTAAGTTTTATCTATGTGCAGAGTGGACAGATTTTCATATAGCATATTGGGACAAACTCCATGATAGCGGATCCACTTACGAAGGGACTACCACCCAAGGTCTTTCATGAGCACACTGCTCAGATGGGTGTTGTTCTATTTGAGAACATTTTGGTTTAGTGGGAGTTTGTATTTATATTACTGCTTTATGTCAGCCTTAAGTTTTATCTATGTGCAGAGTGGACAGATTTTCATATAGCATATTGGGACAAACTCCATGATAGCGGATCCACTTACGAAGGGACTACCACCCAAGGTCTTTCATGAGCACACTGCTCAGATGGGTGTTGTTCTATTTGAGAACATTTTGGTTTAGTGGGAGTTTGTATTTATATTACTGCTTTATGTCAGCCTTAAGTTTTATCTATGTGCAGAGTGGACAGATTTTCATATAGCATATTGGGACAAACTCCATGATAGCGGATCCACTTACGAAGGGACTACCACCCAAGGTCTTTCATGAGCACACTGCTCAGATGGGTGTTGTTCTATTTGAGAACATTTTGGTTTAGTGGGAGTTTGTATTTATATTACTGCTTTATGTCAGCCTTAAGTTTTATCTATGTGCAGAGTGGACAGATTTTCATATAGCATATTGGGACAAACTCCATGATAGCGGATCCACTTACGAAGGGACTACCACCCAAGGTCTTTCATGAGCACACTGCTCAGATGGGTGTTGTTCTATTTGAGAATATTCTGGTT